TGATTGCAGTTGAAGTTCTCCAGTACACCCATATAAGCAGGCCACTTGAATTGCCAGGAACATAATGAAGTCTCTCTTTTCATTTAAGGAATACTCTCCTGGCTGCTGCAGGTTAGAAGACCTGGTATGGGAGTAGCAGCAGAAGGAAGAAGGAGTTGCTGTGCCAACATATATGCTTTTTTTATTTTTTAATATAAAAACATACTTTCTGGATAAGAACAGAACTTGACCTTTGTTTAAAATTAAGTATTTAATTAAAAAGGCAAGATTTTATTGCCAAGGACACATCTCCTTGTGTACAGACCCAGTAGAAGAGATCACTTTCAGAGTGACAGTATTACAGTGCATGAGTATTTCAGAACATGTACATGCAGATACTCAATGATGGAAGAGCCAAAACCAAAACTGGAGACCAATCTCTATTTCAACGCTTTCTTTTTTCTCCTTTTTTTTAATGTAATGCACCACAAAAACTGCTTTGAAATTGCTTCTAAAATGATCAAAGCAAGAAAATATGAGGTGAATCAGGAAAAGAAACAAAAGCCCTAATTCTCTCCAGGATAAACAGACCTCATGTGGACAGTCCCTGTGCATGCAATGTACTACCTTGTTATTTTGTCTGATTATGTGATGCTATTAAAAACCCAATCATAAATTCGCAGTTAACACGTTTGAACATGTGCATTATTTTAATATTTTCACTTTAAAACACCCCAATCAAAAACCTATAACATTAATAGGAACTTGACTGCTGGGACAGAAAGGAGAGTTAGATCTGAGATTCCTCCTTCAGATGTTCAGAACATTGCAAGTGCTGCAATACAATTTCAAGGCATTCATTCAGCACTCTTAAGAGTTCAGTCATTTTCTTGTCACTTTGCACTTCTACAAAGACCATATTCCCCTGTTTTCTAGGGAATTTTGACTAACTAGCTATCTTAAAAGAAATCATGCTTCATGTTTATGCAAATAGGCTTGATTTTAGTTCTTTCTATCAGAAACTGTATTTTGTTGCATTAAAGTTAATCTGTGACTTTGTTCCTTTGTTCACTGCAGTGCTAGGGTTTTCTTCAAGGGGTGATAAAACTATTGAAGCCTGTTAGAAGTCCCACTGATACTGCAACCATGTTTTTCAAAGATTTTGCTGATCCAGCTGCTTACAATTGAGACAATATGCGATGCATTTTTGAAGCTCCTAATGGCACCAGAAATAAAGTATATTATACTGTTTTCATGACAAGTATGCACAGAAACAGTCAAAACTTAAGTCTTCTGTAGTCAGTTGATCTTCCCAGGATATCTGAGTTTAGGATTGTCATTAAGTTGCCAAAAATGTATCCACTAGAGGGAAGGTATAAAATATTGATAAAATAGGGCTTCCATCAAAGATTTATCTTTGCATTCACATCATATTAGAGGAATTGCAGACATTTGACAAAACTCAGATTTATCACATTCCAAGGAATGTGTTCCAAGGAACAACTCACCAGCTCCTTTATTGTCATTAAGCCAAAGACACCAGAGTATCACAAATCAATCTCCTCAATGCAAAGGAGCAACATTCACTGGTACACAGATCAATACTTCTTTCATTACCTGACTAGCTCATTTTGAGGCAATTAGCCAATATCTCCACATCTGTCCAACCCCAGCAGACACATCCCAATTAGGGGGCCACTAAGTACAATTGTCTCTTGGTCTTGGATGGGTTTTAATCCAAAATGCAGTAAGTGGTACCAGTGAAGGCATAATATTTCAAGTACAGGGGGGAAAAGTACTGTGGATAACATTAAATAAAATAGAGATTACTCTTTGATAGCCTTTATACACGTGACATAATCAATGAGGTCCTAACTCACTCAAGTTCCCAATACTTTCATCATGAATGTTATTCTCTGGCTCCCTGCAGAAGATCTCGCCTTAATTAGTTTCCATAGCATATTTAGTAGTAAACAGAAAATTAAGCAAGACATTGCACTTGTTGGGAACGAGCATGGGCTGGGCATGGGGAGGGTTTGTTTGAGGTTGAAGATTATTTTTCCCTCTATTGTTCCCCCCTCCTCTTTCTTACTTCCCCAGTAAACACTGAGTGATACAGGAGCACAAAGGACAAATCAACACTACTATCAGAGACAGCAGCCTGTGGGAGTTATCACCAGCAATGCTCCCATGCACGACAGCAACAAAGTCCATGCATGTAAGAAGACAAGGCTATGACATAGCATCACTCACAAAAGAATCAGTGAGAGCGCCTCCTTGAGTTTAAGGGCCCAGAGGGTGGTACGATTTTTGTTTTTTTCCCCCAAGCAAGTGTTGAACAAACAGCAACTCCCCCTTAAAATATGATACAGCAAGCTCATGCTGGCCAGTGGAGGCCCAGGGGGGAGCTTAGCTGCTGCCAGTTGAAACTCCAACTGCTCGTTTTTCTTCTGCTTATAAGTGCAATTCTTAATACGTGCATGAACTGTCACTGACACCTCTTTGCTGCCATTCAGAGAACACATTTGACAACAACCATTTGGAATATTGAACAGAAACTGATTTTGGCTGTTCTTTGATAGCTACTATGTACCTGTTGCACCTACAGTAAAAATAAATAATATTAAGAACAAAAACAGCAATCTCCCCTGTTTTATCACCAGACATTCACTTCCGCCTGTGTCATACACTCAAGAGCTGTCAGTCTGATGCCTGTCATCTGCACCCATTCCCTGCTATCTGCCCATTCAGCACGCGTCACAGACGTCTCCTCAGAGTTAATTGTCTGCTCAGCTTTTGTCCCTTTCACCCAGGTTTTCTCCAAGTGAACTGCCTGTCATTACTCAGTTACTTCTGCGCCTCTGTAAATCAACCGGCTGCTTGGCAGGGCTCAGTTTCTCAAAGCTTCAGCCCAGGCAGAAGCACATTCCTACGCGCTGCGTGCCACCTAGTGATAGAAAAAGTGAGAGCACAGTCCCACATCCCTTTGAAACGTTTCCAGATATATTTCAGCTTTCCTCTTTACAAAAAGTCCAAAGGAAACAGCCAGAGGTCCGAGAAAACATTCAGTCATTTTCTCACATACTGACCCCCTTTAAATAAAAACAGCACAACGGGGACATGCAGCATCTCCTCTAGGCAAAGTACTGCAGTTATTAAAAATGGGTGGTAAATACATAAAACATGCAGGGAAAAAACCCAGAACTAAACTCATGAGAATTATTTTCTTGTATGTCACCCTAGTGAAAGTTAATGACAAAAACATAACAAAACACTGCAGGCCACCTTCAGGTTTTGTACTTCACACACAACACAGCCAGCACATCAGTAGTGATGTCACTCCTGAAGAACGCTGGGAGGCGAAGTAAGGGGGAAAGCAGGTCTTCTAGAGGACATCAAAATGATGTAGATATATGCACATATGCATTTCATCCCTCATGGGGCTGACAATTCCCTTAAGTCGTATACAGTAACCAGCACCATCCATTTTTTTGCAGAAAATTGCAGCATTCCAAAGAGATCACCCAAGGAATTTAACCCATCTATCACCAACAAACCCCACCAAATGTTTAGACAGACCAGATTAGTCAGTAAGCTAAACTACTCCAGATTTTATTATATACCAACAAGGACTAACTCTTTCATATGCTTGGGAGCGATACCCTGGATAAGTCTGAGGAATAGCCCTAAACCAAGCTGACAGTTTTCACAGGTGGGTAATGTTTCTTAAACGACACGGGCCAAATGCCTTCAGCAGGTGAATACAGCAGCAAAATTAATATATTAATACAGCTTTAGGAAGCTTCTAATCACAACTTTCATGTTTATTATCATCAGAAAATATGGTGGGTGCTTTTTATTTTTCTTCAACCAATATTTACACGTAAGAAATTCTGCATGTCTGCCATAGAAACAGACTGTCATTGTTAATAGTGTCATAGCAGCTAACAACCAAGCAGAGGTTTATTAATGCTTACATAACCACAGAGAAGCCTTAGAGGAGAAACACCAAAAAATAGAGAAGTATAAGCTTCCACATTAATTAACATGAAAAAAAACCCACATGCAGGGAGCACAGGGGAAGAGCATTTGTTACTTGACTTCTGAGCACCAAGCTCTCAAAACTCCATTGCATTTTGGAATTTGCTAAGAAAAATATCAGAATTGACAAATTACCAGTATTTTATCATCAAGACATGAACTACAGAAATGGCCGGCCAATGCTTAGCTGCCTTGATATTTGTTATCTTTCACTTGTATTGGCTTCAGGCCACAGAAGAACAAATCCCTACAGCAGCCCAACACAGAGCAAACCTCTCCTGTAATGCTCACTTCCACCATGAGTACTTTCTCTTCTAAGCATCTGATTTTCCAAGATCTTTGAGATTATGGAATGAAAACACAATCTCCCTATGAGAAAGCCCCCTGATTACTGAGGCTGTACATCTGGGGGGATCATGCCCCAGGGTGGAATTAACCCAAAACAAGTTTACATAACACTAAATGGGCCTCATGCTCACATATCATAAATAGTTACAACACAACACTAGACAGAACACCTCTGGCACCACCACACACTTCTCCCAGAAAGTTCAAGCTGAAACCCCTAAAACCAACACACAGGAACAGACAGGGACTAATTTTTCTTTTTTTTTTTTTTTTTAACTTTCAAACTGTTTTCTTTGGTGGGTTTTGGGTTTGTTGTTTTGTTGTTTTTTTGGGGGGAGGTGTGTTTTGTTTGGTTTGTGGGAGAGTATAAAATAATCAATTGAATCTGACAAATTAATTATCAAAAAATACTTCATTAACCATACCAGTTAGCAAACAACAATTCACTGTCTGAAGACACACGTGCCAAAATCCTTCTGAAAACCTAAGTTCTTTTTGGTTTTAACACCTTAAAGAATATCTAATGCATTGTCAAAGCAGAGACTTTTACCCAGGACCTCAGTATCAGAAAATGGGACAAACACTTATTAACACAAACAAGAAAAAAAACCAAACCTGTAAAAAAGTGTTACCTTCATCAGCATGAACATCACAACCAAACCACCTTTCCTCCCTTCTCCAGAAGCAGGGGAAAAAAAAACATATATCTTTTTACCCTCCCCTTCTTTAAACCCAAGCCTAAGCCTAAACCTAAACCCACTGTAAACCCCCAGCTGGCACTGATGACTGGCCCACCCCCTCCCTGGCTCTTAAAGCCACACCAGCACTTCCCAAATGCTTGTCATCTCTTTTCTTGCACACTTGCAGAATTTTTACTAAACTTTTTTGTAACCTTAGCTGTGCTAAAAAAGCCATTTATACACCAAAACACTCTGTAGCAGCCTGTGGCAGGGCCATGGCACTGGCAGGCTTTGTGCTCAGGGATATGTGAAGTCAGCATCTTACCTTGTGGGGGCAAGATTAGTGTAACTTGTGCACTGTAATTCTGCATGTGACAGTTCTCCTTCACTGGTTTTAATTTGTCATTGTCACCACATGGAGATATGGGGGACCTCCAGCCCTAACACCATTGCTCCAGCCCTAACAGCCATGCCCATGAAGGCTTTGCAGGATACCCTTTCCCCTATCCCATTCCTTCACGTTTGCACTCACAAAGGCTGAAGTATCCCCAGATAATTCCCCCCATATGAAGCTAGGTGTCCTCAGGAACCATACTACCTTTAGAAAGTGTACACAGGGTGCCCCCCATTCCCAGCTGGCTGGAGAAGTGGCAGTGAAGGAAAGGCAGGTAAAGGACTGAGGGCATGACGTTGACTACTGAGCATTCCCAGCATTCAGGGCATCATCTGCCTTGTCCATCAAGGACCAAACAGGAGCCTTGAGAATTAAAACACTGTTTTGAAGCATTTTTTTATCCCATATATTACAATTATACAATTATATGATAATATAACATAATACAATTATATGATAATATAACATAATTGTATAATACTACAATTATTTCAGCATTTGCCTGCTGACAGCAAAGCATGTCTGTAAACATGAACCCTCCAGAATTTAAAAGACTAGGCTGGAGCATTTCTGGTTTATATCACACAATATATTTTGTCAACTCCCTCCGCTTTCCAGTTCCCAACCTAAACTTCCTGAAAGTTGGAGGTTGGCAGATATGGGGATGCTGACACGCAGATTAATGTTTCTGAGACCTGTCTCTAGTTTTATTTAGTTATTTCAGACCATGGTAGGATGTGATAGGATGATGACAATCTGCCATTTTTAGTGAAAATGTAATAGGAGATTTTTATTGTAGGGTATATCAAGGACTTTGAAAAGAATGAAGAGAACATGTACTGAACAAAGTATCTGGGATCTTTTGGTGTCGCTTGGATCTGCCTACTGTGTATACTACTGATTTAAGAAAGCTGCTGATCACATGAGGTGTGCCCAAGCTGTGGGACTATTTTAAATCCTCATTGGAAATACAGTCTAGTGTAGCTCTAAGAAGATGTTAGGCTTAATGTATAACAGTGGCACAAGGTAGTTATTAAAAATCTACATTGTTCTATGATTTCTATCTGCTTTTAATAATTTACACTAAGATTTTTTTACTATAATATTTTATAGGATATTCAGATTCAGACACTGTACTTGCTCTTCCAGTTTATATGCTTCTAAGCAAATTTCTCTGTGAAACATTAATGTATGTTTATATAGCTGTTCTCTGTCAAGAATTAAAGTGAATTTTGATTTAATGGGATCTTCTTCCCTCCCCCCCCCCCCCCCCCCCCCCGTAACCACTGTTTTATTTAACGTGTTGTCTACCAGAATATCTCTAATTTGTTAAGATCATGTGTGAAAAATCCCAGGTCAATAACACTGCCAAATACACTTTCCCTTCTCCAGTTTTCTCGCAACAAATTCTATTTTTGTGTTGAAAAATTCACTCTGCTTCTCACTCTCATTTGTTATCAGCTATTCAATTGCCAGTTTTTCTGTTTATTTGATCAAATATAATCTAGAGGGGTTTTTGGTTTGGTTTGGTTTTTTACTTGCCTTTTTCTTTTTACATGCTAAGTAGCTTAATAACTTTAGATTTCTTGATAATACCATCCAGTCCTCCTGAACTGCTGAAATTTTACTGAAGAAATAACTTTCAGCCAGTTGACATCTCAGTCTTTCAAGGAACTTTATTTTTACTAATCATCTATAATCTTTCATAGGTTATTACTTCACCTGCTTTACACAACTGATTTTAAGCAGATAATTAGCTGGTAATAACGACTATGCCAATTAGAAATATCAGTTATCTGCAGCATTATGACTGTTGATCACATAAGAATTTTTTGAAAAGCATCAGCCAAGGAGAGTCCAGCATAATTTTCAGTACCTTAGGTGGGCTTACAAAAAAGATGGAGTGGGACTTTTTACAAAGGCATGTAGGGATAGAACGAGGGGGAATGGCTTTCAACTGAAGGAGGGTAAATTTAGGTCAGATATTAGAAAGAAATTCTTCACTATGAGGGCGGTGAGACACTGGCACAGGTTGTTCAGAGGAGCTGTGGCTGCCCCATCCTTGGAAGTGTTCAAGGCCAGTGTCGTGGTTTAAACCCAGTCAGGTAATTCGTTCGCTCACTTCCCCCCCTTTTCTTGCCCTCCCCCTGCTCTCGGAGGGACGGAGAGGAGAATCGAAAAGAATGCAACTCCCACGGGTTGAGATAAGAACAGTTTAGTAACTAAGATATAACACAAATCACTACTGCTACCACCAATGATAATAATGATACAGGAAATAACAAGGGAAGAGAATACATCATCTCACCACCAGCCGACCGATAACTCGCCCCCCCCAGCCCGACCAAGCTCCGATCGATACCTCCTCCAACCCCGCAGTCTCCCAGCCCTTCCGGCTCACTCCCAGTTACATCCTGGGCATGACGTGCTGTGGTACGGAATACCTCTTTGGTCAGTTTGGGTCAGGTGTCCTGTCTCTGCTTCCTCCCGGCTTCCCCTCCTCCCTGGCAGAGCATGAGGCTCACAAAGTCCTTGGCCAAACCAAAACATCATTGTTATCAGCTCTGTTCCCGAGCTGAAAGTCAAAACATTGCACTGCACCAGCTACCAAGAAGGGGAAAAATGACTGCTACTGCTGAACCCAGGACAGCCAGGTTTCTCCTCTCTATTAGCAGCATGATCCATCCACAAGACTGAAATCTGCAAGTGTCCTTGTTTCAGCTGGGATAGAGTTAATTTTTCTTCCCAGTAGCTGGTGCAGTGCTATGTTTTGCAAGTGTCCGTGTTTCAGCTGGGAGAGGGTTAATTTTCTTCCTAGTAGCTGGTACAGTGCTGTGTTTTGGTTTTAGTCTGAGAACTACACTGATAACACGCTGATGTTTTAGTTGTTGCTAAGTAATGCTTAATGTGATCAAAGACTTCAGTCTCTTATGCTCTGCCATTGAAGAGCGGCACAAGAAGCTAGGAGGAAGCAGAGATAGGATGCCTGACCCAAAAGAGCAAAAACAAAAATAGCCAAAATAGCACATCAATCCCTGTATATAAACTGGGGGGAGATACCTGGAAGGGACCAATTTCTGCTTGGGTCAGGCTGGGTATCAGTCTGTAGGTGGTGAGCAATTGCATTGTGCATCACTTGTGCTTATCGGGTTTTTTTCCCTTTTCCCACTTCTTAGTTTTGTATTTTCTCACCTTGTTATTTTGCTTATAATTATCAGTATTATATTTTACTTTATTTTAGTTATTAAACTGTTCTTATCTTGACTTGTGGGGTTTACATTCTTTCAATTCTCCTTCCCATCCTTCCCAGGGAGGGTGTGATTTGGGGTGTGAGTGAGAGGCTGCATGGTGCTGAGTTGCCAGCTGGGTTCAAACCATAACAAAAAGGAAATATTAACAACTATCTTTATAAACAGTTGTTTCCTTACTTTTCAAACAAAAGAAAAAAAAACGCAAAAAAAAAAAAATCAAAACCAACCAAAAACACCCACCGACCAACCAAAAAAAAACAGCCAAAAACCTGAACAAGAAGACAAAAGAGCCATTTGAAAGGGCATGGTGCTAATATAGGTTTCCAAATGTATAATATGTGGTGAATTGTTAATTGTATCCAATTCCACTAACTGGTGTCATTGAAGAAATCCACCTTGGCAAGATTAAAATAGCCTTACAGTGGTCAGAGATGAATACCAACATGCACTTATATCACGTCTCTTTTTTTTTTTTTTCTTTTCTTTGCAGCTTCAGACAACAGAGGAGGGAGCTGTTGGGGAAGAAGGAAAAATCAAATATATAAAATTTCTCCCTTCTGAGAAAGAGTCTTTCAAAGTATCCCTCTTGCTTTTATTCTAATTAGACCATAATGAGCATAGTCATAGTCATGACAATAGATTTATGTTTATTGCTACCTAAAATTGTGCATGACATTTTTATTTTCTATGGATGCCTCTGAGGAAGATCAGAAAGGGGGAGGATTCAGCATTTCCAGCTGTACCATCCCATTCTTGGGGACCGAAAAGAAAAGTAGTGTCCCTCCGGAGCACAGGATGGAAAAGAAATGTGCTTTAGAGTGGTGTCTTCTCTTGCTCCTCAGTGGGCACTGACAGGTTTACTCTTTGGAAAATGTTCAAAACTTGTGTGACCAAGGCCATGAACAGCCTCTTCCAAGTTGGATCTTTGAAGCCAGACCTGGCTTTAGTATAAGGTTTGGCCAGATGTCTTCCAGAGGTCCCTTACAATTGAATTTATTCTATGTATGTTGGAGTAGTTCACAGTGTTACAGCATTAAGGATAGAACTCGTTTGTTAATGATTTCCTGTTGGTTTTATTTTAGTCTTTTTTTTTTAATTAGTATTCTTATGATTACCATAGTGAGATTGTTTAGCAGAATAAAGTAAAATCTATAGCTCAATCCTTGTTGTCCCAGGTTTTTGTTTTGACATAACCCTGGCTCTTTCAGGAGAGGGAATAGCAGCAAGTCAAAGATTACCATAGTCATTATAACCTTTACATAAAAGCAGTATATCAAAATGTAAACTCTGCCTGTGTCAAGTAAATGTTAATGAATAGTGTATGGGAAGGTTAAATATAAATACATATAATTACAGCTTGCTAGTGACAAG